GTACTTGGATCTCTGTTTGTTAGCTTACCCCAGACCCTTCCAGAGTTAAAGGCAGGCCTGGAACTAGGGCAAGTAAGGTAGCCTATTTTAGTCTCAGTTTCCTCATCTGTAAACAGGATAATAATTGTTCCACTAACCTCAAAGGGTTGGGTTGATGAGAATGATATTAAAAATAACGATAATTTGTTGAATGCATATTATGTTTCAAGGACTATACAAGGCACTTTACATGCATTATGTTGAATCCTTACAAATCTTCAGGGCATGCAAGTTTTATCCTCTTTTTATAGAACAGGAAAATAGGCTCAGAGAGGTTTTCTCTCCCCGACTTCCCTCCCCCCATCAGGGACACAACAGAGATAATGTATGTGACAATCTTATATGCATACAAGGTAATGCCATAGTTATTAATTCATTTACATCACTTTGGGGGATATAGCAGCAAACAAAAGGAACAAAACCCACTGACTTCTGAAGCTTACATTACAGTGGAGGGAGACAATAAAATAAGTAAAATATGTGTTAGATGGTGGTAAAGAAAACAAGGAAGAGAACTAATGCATGTGAAGTTACAGGGAAAATGATGTTTGAATAAAGATATGAAGGGAGAGAGGGAACAACATTGTACGTTTTGTTTTGTTGGGGAAGCAGGGAGATAATTCAGGTGGCAGAGGGAAGAGCAAATGAAAGGCCATGAGACTGGAGCTTGTTCACTGTACAGCATCTTCATGTATTCAGAAACAGCATCTCCATTTCCAGTGTGGCTAGGAAAAAATGAGTTCGGGATAGACTGGTAGGAGATGATGTCAGAGAGATAAGGCGTGGAAGGAACAAGGTCCATGGGTCATCCAGGCCATTGTAAGGACTTTGATTTTTAACTTCACATGAGATGAGGAGCAAAGTTTTCTTTCTTTCTTCTTCCTTCCTTCCTTCCTTCCTTCCTTCCTTCCTTCCTTCCTTCCTTCCTTCTTTTCTTTCTTTCTTTCCCTTTCTTTCTTTCTTTCTTTCTTTCTTTCTTTCTTTCTTTCTTTCTTTCTTTCTTTCTTTCTCTCTCCATTCCCCTCCCTTCCCCTCCCCTCCCCTCTCCTCTCCTTTCCTTTCCTCTCCTTTCCTTTCCTTTGCAGAGAAGTGACTTGAGCTAGAGTGAAAAGACTCACTCTGGCTGCTGTGTTCAAAGTAGACTTCTGGAGGCAAGGATAGAAAAAAGGGATATGAGGTTGTTGGTAATCACAAAGTGCAGGCAAAGGGCGATGCTGGCTTGGACAAGGTAGAGGTGGTAGGTAGAGGTTAGATTCCAGATATGGTACTTTGAAGGTTGAGCCGACAAGTTACTGACACTTGTGGGGTGTAACAGAAAGGAAGGAGTCAAGAAAGACTCCAAAGGTTTTCACTTGAGCAATGGGAACGATGTACATGGCATTAACTGGAATGAGGAAAACTGTGGGTGGGGCACTACTGGGGCAGGATATCTAGACCCTGGTTTGCACACATTAATTCTTAGATGTCTATTAGACACCAGATGGAGATGTCAGGTATATTTTTCTCACCTCACTAGATTTTATTTTTTTCTTCTCTCTTTAAATTTTTTTTTTTAATGTTTATTTATTTTTGAGAGAGAGAAAGAGACAGAGTGTGAGCCAGGGAGGGCAGAGAGAGAGGGAGACACAGACTCTGAAGCAGGCTCCGGGCTCTGAGCTGTCAGCACAGAGCCTGACACGGGGCTCGAACCCACCAACTATGGATCATGACCTGAGCCAAAGTTGGACGCCTAACTGACTGAGCCACCCAGGGACCCCTCTTCTCTTTTTACAGAGCTGTAATAGTATTTATTCATGTTCCTTTGCTTTCAGTGTGGTGGTCTATGTCATTGAGAATTTGATGCTGGGGCTCCACAAAGGGGTGAAAAGATGTGGGGAAGCAGTTTCAGCAAAAGTAATAAAAAAGGGTCTAGAGATACAATTTATAACTCAGATCTGGTTTCACAAGGTTGGGTAGTCCCTTCTCTAGGAAGCCACACAATCTGTTTAATGACAAAAAGGTGACTTGGGGACCCCAAAATGTTTGCCCACAACCGACCCATTCTATGTGTTTAAAATAAACTAGATGTTAAAAAGTACGTTTGGACATTTGAAAAAAGTTCAATATAGTAGATCATAAAAGTAACAACCCTCCTCTAAGTGTAGCCTCCACACAGACATCAAAACATGAACTTATTGGGAAGGAGGGGGGAGAAGGGCGAGGAGGCAGATAAAAATAAAACCGTAGGACCAGAACAGCAGACCTGTCCCTGGTGCTCGGCTGACCTTACCCACCTTGACCTGGCTCAGAAAGGGAGAGGGAGAGGTAAATGAAAAAGCAGGAGAGGTGACATCTTAAAAGGCTATGTTATGGTGTCCTCTGCACCACGTGAGTCCTATTTGGAAATCTGGGGTCTGGAGAATGAGATTTGCTCTGCCTCGATACAAAGCCAGATCTGCCAATGTTTCTGATTATGTCACAGACCTTGCCGTCCGGGTCTCTTGCTAATGACTGATCACCTTTAAATTTGGCATGTTTGTGCGTCTGGGGATGGTACTGGATCCAGTGTGAAACTGGCAGTTTTCCATGTCCTTAATCTCCTGGTCATTAAAGTCTCTGAAGGTGGCAGTAAGCACGGAAGGCAGGAGAGGAAATCTTTCCCTGCAGCAAGCTACAAATAAGCAAAATAAAAACCTTATAGGATTTATCGCCTCTGGAGCCAAACCCTGGGTTCAAAATGAATGCCCACTACAGCCCATGCCTGCGGGCCAGACTTCTGCTCCGGGTCAACTTTCAGCCCCCTCGGCCTCGGCGTGGCGCCATGAGTCTGAGAGGGCAACTGGACTATGCAGTGTCTCCCAGGAACCGGGTGGGATGTGGGTACGCGGCACGGCGTGAGACAGGGAAGGGGTGGGGAGAGGAGAGCCCTACGCTTGCACCCGGGCACCGGGACTCGCGTCGCCCCCTCGGGGCCAGGTGGTGCGGGACTCCAGCCAGCTCAGCCGAGGGCGCTGCGACCCTCCGGCGGCCCGAGCGCCGGCCTCACCTGGCGGCGACCGAAGGTGCTGCTCCGGCGGGAGGGCGCGGCCGACGGGCGGGCGCAGGGAGCGCGAGGAGGCGGGACCGAGCGCGACGGAGACGCCCCGCCCCCCGATGATGCGGCGCCAGCCGACTCGCCTCCGCCTTGTCACTCACTCCTCACCATGGTTGCAGCACAAAGCAACAAGCCCCGGAGGCCGCTTCCTCCCTGAGGAGCGGCTCCCGCGGCCGGAGAAGGCGCAGGAGGAGGAAGAGGCGGAGGAAGCGGAGGGGGAGTCGCCGCTTCCCAAATACTCTCTCCGAGGGGGCTGTGCGCGGCTCTCGGCTCCTGGCCCTCCGCCCTCGGACGCCCGCCGCCGGGAGTCCGGACCTGGGCTGCCCGCGGCCCCCTCTTCCCCCTCCCCCGCCCCGCGCAAACCGGGAACAAAGTTGCCGAGAGCGACTGGGCCGGAGGTCTGCAGCCCCGGCCGGGTGCTCTGGCCGCGGCGGCGCCGGCGCCGGGGCAGCTCCGCTCCGGGCGAGCTGATGGGGGGAGGCGGTGGCGGCGGAGCCCACGGCGGCGGCCCGAGCAGCAGAGGCGGCGGCGGCGGCGGCGGCGGGGCGGCCCGAGGGGATGCAGCAGCAGTCGGGAGGGACGGCCGAGCCCAATAGACGGAGACTAGGAGCGGTGGCGGCGGCGGCGATCGGGCTTCGCAGCGCCCGGACCTGAGCCAGTCGTCCCGACGGCGGCTGCGGCGCCCAAGTGCCGGAGGACTGGGGACGCGGGAGATCCGAGTGCTTCGCGGAGACTCCCGGGCGGCGGC